CCCCCCCCCCCCCCCCCCCCCCCCGTGGAAGATGCAATAGTACTGATTCTCCCCCAACTGGAATTCCTACTTCAGCAGTCACAGTTTTAAGGAACCGTGTGAATCACCTGGTCCGTGTTCTGCGAGTGTCTTCCATGCCTCGACTGGCCCCACATACAGCCCTACAGCTCAGTCGCTTTCCCACCTTTCATATCTCCTTCTGCTCGATGGACTTCATTTTATGTTCGAATCGGGATAGGACAAACCGTCCTCTTTATTTGGGATCTGTTCTCACAGTGAAATTCGATAAGGAGCCCAATGAACTATTTCTCTGCCCGTGACCTCATCGGGTTTTCTCAGGGTTGCACCCACCGTTGTTGTTTTTTGCGTCCCATACCACCGAGATGTCTTGAGTAGCTCAATGCTTGGCTTGTGGCAGGCGTGTTCCTCTCTTGCTTGACCCTTGGACTTCTCATGGACTATGCTCCTATCTCTAAATTCTTTGTCTTCACTGCTATAGCCGTGGTAAGCTCTCAGCAACTTTTGTAACCAGGTAGGATTTCTGCAGTTCGCATCACCTCTCAGGATCCCGAAAAGTGTTGCTTTGTTTCTCTGAATCTGCCTATAATTCCCTCCCCTCTTTCCCTCCTCATTCGGTCAGTCCCTTGGGACCGTGGGTGTCTTTCACTGTCTGCTGGATCAGCCTTTGAGGACCTGGAGACCAGCATCTTGTAGACATCCTTTTCGGCTTGGTAGAACTTCCCGTCACTGGATCCTGCGTTCCGTTAGAGAGTGAGGAAGAAATGGGGAATGGAATCGAATTTGTAGAAAAAGTATAAAGCAGTACTACAACAGGACACGGAAAGAAGTTCTAAGAGAAAGCCTTTTCAAGAATAGACAAAGCGAAGGTGTCAGAGGAAAGTCTATTATTATACGTTACAGAAAATCCCTACAGAATAGGGAATTTCTGAAAAAGATTTCCGGCGCTCAATCTGACAATATTGGTTTCAAGCATAGATTTTTTATAACCGGAACCTAAAAACATGTTTTTCTTTTTTATGCCAATTTAAATCCGAAAGTTTGAAGGGAAAAGAACCAATAAAGGAAAAGATGTAGTCTAATAAGGAGAACCTTATCAATTTTTGATTCTTTCCAAATTTTTACGGAAACAAAGTTTTTTAGCTACCAGTTAGTACTAACTAACAACGGGAATAAACTCAGGCAGGTGGGGCGTGCCGGGGACGGAAATTTCCCGGCGCACTTCCGCAACGTTTCGTTCCTTTCAAGTTCACCGTAGCAGGCAAACTCACTAGTTTACATAATTACCGTAGTCCTAGCTCTCATTCGACTAAGCCTGGCCAACCGACACTACTCGCTCGGTCCATTTTACTATGTTGACATTACGCCGGTGGGAGGAAGTTGTTAAGAGGTAATTATAGCGAGAAGGCAGATATCTATTGTGGCCTGGATTGCCCCAATATTGTTTTCTCAATTTCCATGAATTCCATTCAAAACCGAAATTGAGGGTGTGAGCTGGAAGGGAGGGAGGGGGGGAGGGGTCTAGGTGGGGTGTACTAAGATTCATTCTTCAGTTACTACTGAGTAACCAAGTTAGTAGAACACTTGAGGTCGGAAATTCCACAAAACCATCACTATAAGGAGCGACCTATATGGATTTGGTAATAGTGGTAGTCCTTTTACGGTTACAGGATTGTTAGGGCGTTGATTGAGTAAGGGAAGGTCATTCTGGTAGTACGAAATCTGTTGGATCACCCACATTTTGGGCTGAACAAACCCATTTTCTGGAAATCTCGTGGCTGTTTCCACGTTAGCTCGGGAAGTGGGAAGCATCGGTTCAGATAAATTCTTGAATCTACTTCTTGGAAAGCTGAATGCAAGGTAATTCTCAGGAAAGGAACAGGGTTGCACTGAGCGTCTCCTTTTTTGTCATGGCACGAGCTGTAGCCTTTTATACATTAAAATGTTGACTCAGCAGAACTTTCCCATGTGGGAACTTCGAAAATTCGAGAGAGATTGGGTATCATACGTGATTTTTGGAACCACCACAACCCAATGTATCACTCCACAAAGTTTTACTGCTGTGTGTGCATGTAGTCATAACTCTTTCACTGCTATTTCATTGCCAACCATCAAAGTGAATGGCTATGGGAGAAGGAGGGTGAGGTACTGTGGTCGAACTCGAAAAGCAGAGGCACTAAGCCTGTACTTGACAAACTAACTTGCCCGGTCCCATTCTTCCAGGTTCTTCATTTCCGCAAAGAGTAATTGGAATCATTCTCTATTCGGGAGTATGAACACACAGAAAATAAGTGGTTTCTTGATTTTATTTGCTTCATGCCGTTCCGCATATCATACAAAATTTTTCTCATGAAGTAGTCAGCGCGTGGGAGACAGATCTGTTGCCGTTCGGCTCAGTTTTTTCCAGAGAGTAGGGGACTAATTGTATATTACTCCATTTACTTATGTACTCCACTGAATACTACTTCAAGAGTATGTGCGAAAAATAAGTAGAAACTTCGGCAATCGGATATCCCTACTTCCCCCGTGGAAGCAACTTGCATGTTCCAGGCTAAGCAGTAAGGAAGCACTAAGGATGGACCTACGGCTAAAGAAGAAACGTGAAGAAAACCAGTTTCGACTATGTCTGTGCATTAGAATAGACGGACTGCTGTTACCAACGTCAGTGGGAAAGAAATTCGAACTAACAGTAATCAACAACTGAAAAGAGAAAGCGGAAAAAGTAAAGGTAACTCATAAGACGATACAGATTCCATGTTGAGATACGTTGGACTCATAAAATCACTCCTTTGGGAAGCATTCAGGAGGCTTTCTCCGGGAATTCCTAACATTTGGAAGGCACTATCTCAACAGGGTCACTGTTTCCACAGTAAGAGAGAAGAGAGATGAATAGATTAGGTTACAAACCAAGAAACTAGTCGAGTACGGTAGTATTTCTCGGAGGTTCCGAAATTTGCAAAAAGGTAGCTCTCAAAAAGTGTTCCAAGTGTTCAGTTAGGCTCACAAGGATGAATGATTGTTTGTGCCATGGGGAGTAATGTGAGAATCACTCCCCCNCCCCCTACGGGAGTATAAGCGTCAGCAGACAGTTACCATGGCAACAGTTTGGCGAAGTATCGCCCTTGTCCCTCATGTATTGCAGCTGCTGCCAAGCGATTCTGCTTGGAGAAAGCGGACATTTGCAGGGAACGCTTCCCAACACTCGGGAATTCCCTTCAGAAATTATTTATCCGAAACGAGGTATTCGGTGTCAGAGTTTTCTAGGAACAGATGGACGATATGGGAATGAAGGTTGATTCCATGTCCTGTTGTGTTGCTACACCCTTAGATTGGAGGTGATTTGGCTCAAAAACTGTAATACCGTTTTGGTTATCCGGCTACCTAACAATATAGATCTCCGTGTTCGGGTGAGCAAGAGGGATCCCTGTCTCACCCGATCCCCTGGCACCTTTATAGTGGTATGACAAGGAAGATTGCAGGAAGCTGCAGGACCAGCTGGAGGAAGACATTTGTTGGTAAATGGTCAAAACCCATTGCACTACTCTACAGATGTATATGTGCGACATTGGAAGATAAAGGATAGAGTCTTTGGACGTTGGGGT